CACCACTATTCCCCCCAGGAGCCCCGGGGACAAGTGACTGTGGGGGATGAGCCAACTGACTCTCTTCCTGCCGCAGCTGAGGCAGAAAGGGAAGGCTGGACCTGCACTCCGGAGGAAGGTCTGAAATTCCTCTTCCGGAAAGAAACAACGAATCCCGGTACAGGGTGACAGTGCTTGTCACGTCATGAAAGTGCGTGGAAAGCTGGAGACTTTTAGCTGCCACATGCTGAGTTTGAGTACTGAGTCTAAGTATAGTCCTTCCCAGTGTGGGAAAGGAACCAGGGTTAAAAGAGAATGATGGTTAAAATCTGGATGCGAAAATTATGTGTAAAGGTTGTGAAAGTTTTAAACCTGGAGTAGAGGAAACCTGAACTACTTGTTTTATGGTTTCATGGAAAAAGAGCAAATGTCTCACATTGGTGTTGTTTCTGATCAGACACCTGTACCTGAAGACCTAGGAAAGGCCACCTGTAACCGGCTGGGGAGCATGCCTTTGCCACGCGGGACCCAGGAAGGGTCATTTGGGGCTGACGAGTGCTTCAGCCAGAGGCACAGGGGCAGGTCTCTGCCAAGAGACCAGGCCTGGAGGAGCATGTCTCTGCGAGGCACCAGTGGACGCATTGGTGCAAGAGAATGCTTCTACCTGTGTATTGTTCTGGAACTCTGTGTTTTGGATTTCGCTCTGTATCTGCTCTGAAAAGGAAATTGAGGATTCCAGGGAAGGTTGAAACTTCACACTCTGTAGGAAAGTTTTGAGGAGCCTGGTGGATATCAGAAGGAAAAGGATTTTCCTTCACACTTTGTATTTTTCTCCCTACCTGATCCCTCCAGAATTTGGCATTAGCAATAATATAAGGTTTCTTTGCATAAAACCAGTAAGACCAGTCGTTAGCAGTGGTTTTGTTAACCAAGACTTTGACTGGAACGTCACGCCTGAAGGAGGCATGTATGGGTTCTGGTCGTCACCTGAAAGCCCTGAGGACCTGGGATTGACTTGCGGAGCTAGTGTAAGCCCACGAGAAAAGCCTGGTACTCTGGTTGGTTGTGCGGTCCATGGCAGTCTTTCCAGAGGAGGAACGAAGGTTGTTTTCCTGAAAGATGGCCAAAAGGAACCTGTAAGCACAACGGAAGCCTCAAGGGTCTGAGTGAAACAACTGGTACAGGCGAAGCCAGATGGCAGATGTGTGGCTCTGCTTCTGAGCCCCAAGGGGGGGGCGGGGCGGACTGGGAAGTCAATCTAAAGGCTGCCTGTGTGAGTTCCAGCAAAGTAGACTCAAGGATCATAAGTGATCCAGGCTGCTCTTGGTGTGTTTATGCAAACAAACAATCAAAATTAAAAGCGGGACTCAAAGTAGTCCCTTTAATAACAGTGAGGGTTGTCTTAAGGAGAAAAATTATGGTTTGAGGAAAATACAATACTCAGTATTGGACATCAGAAATGGCGCAACTAACTGTCTTGAAAATTTGCTTTTCAATTGACAGGCACAAAGGATCTGTCCAATGGCCACTGTTAAATATCATTGTAGCAAGCGCCTTGTAACAAGATGTCTTCCCAAAAGACGGTCTCCCAGGCACCGAGACCGGCTTGGGAATTTTTGTGTAAATTAACCTGTGTGTTCTTCTGTGGGTGTAGGGCATATGCCTAGAACCTCATTACCTGAGTGACTGATGGTAATACAGGCCTCACTTAAGGAGCCCATTTTCATCATCGCCCCCTGAGACTCAACGGTTTGGCTGAACTAAGTGGTTGGGCTGGTGAAGGGTTCGGGCGGTCTGTGGGTTTCACTTTGAACTGATTTTCCCATTTCTGTCTTGATGCCTTGGACAGAAAAGGGCCCCAGGTATCTGAAAGGAGGGAAATCAATCCTAACATATTCCCCTCGGCCCAAGTGAAGTATAGTGGGCCACAGGAGTTTCGGATAGGTGTACCATGCCTTGTACACCTTCCTCCTGGTAAGCCATTCCTTACCTAAGCCCTTGCCTTTGTCATTTAGTGGTTATGATTTAATTGTGCCTTCCAACTTTTTCCAAATCTGTCACCTCCAGAATATGACCAGGACGCCAACGGTCCAGTAATGCCAGCCTTTGGGCACCGAGCCTGAGACTTCCTGGTGACAGCCAACTGGCCAGGACTCTGTAAGGTCCTTCCCCTTACAGGAAGGCCTCCCTCCAGGCTGCATCCCCCACCCCCTTTCAGGGCTCCCCCTGACCCATGGGTGGGTAGAACAACGTCCATTTCCAGCAGGAAGCAGTTACAAGAAGATGAGACCTTCATCCATTGTCCTTTATAAGATTATAAAGTGGGTGTAAATCTGAAAGGAGGGATTGTAACAGGGTGCCGCCAAGAGGGGAGCCTCAAATAGGGATCTGTAATAAGATCCAGAAGATCCTGGAGATAATTGGCCCCACACCACAGGGCCACACCTGCCCAGAATCTGGCAGCTGTAGCCAATTGTGAGAGGAGCCGGAAATGGGGCTTCAGAGGAAGACTGGCTCTGGGATTTAAACCGAGACGCAGCAGCCATTTGAGGGGGAGAACCATGCGCAGCCCTGCAAGAGAACCACACAGCTCTAGCAGAGTGGAGACTCCCGCAGCCCTGGGAGGGAGAACCATGCGGCTCTGGCAGAGTGGGGACTCCCGTGGTCCGGGGAGAGAGGACCATGTGCCTTTGCCAGAGTGGGGACCCCGGCAGCTTTAGGAGATACGGTACTCTGGACTGGGCAAAGGGGGAAGGAAGGAAGGACTGTGTCTGTTTGTGGGTGCTTTAAGGGACTTTAGGATTTTTGGTGAAGACATTAGGTCCCTACTTTAAATTTGTACAGCATTAAATAAACGTTTCACAAATCTCTGGCCTTTCCTTTTCACAAATCTCTGGCATTGAGAGACGTCTTTCCTCTGGCGGCAGACATAACGGACCTGGGGGCTTCTTTCAGTAATAGTATATCGTCCCAGGCCCCCCTTGTTTGTTCTGTAACACTGCCAGGAAGGGCCGTGGCTGGCGAGGGCCTTATTAAAAGTGCAGGGAGTTACAGGGGAGCCCACAGAAGGACCAGCCCACTCTGCCTTGTCATGTTTAGGAAACTTTTACAAAACTGGCATCACGGATCAACCAGTGGTCAACCGACATTTTCCAGAAAGGCAGGTGAGAGAAAGACAGCGGAAGGAAGGGACAGGTCTTGCTGTGTGGGAGGGCGCACAGGGCAGGCTCTCCCGGCGTGGCCTCGGGACGCTGAGGGGCGTGTCCCACGGCAGCAGCGGAGGAACGGGGGCACGCGGGGCTGAGCCACACCGGCCAGGGCCGCGCGGGGCTCTCTCTCCGGAGCGCTGGGGAGGGCTCTGCGCCAGACAGCACGAGGCAGGCGTGCCGGCGGCAGGCTCCAGAGTGCAGTGGCTGCACAGGGCCACCAGCAGACATGTCAGAGGACCTGGGATGGACGAGACTTCGCAGGAATGGAGAGGGAGGACCAGAGGGCGTCTAACCTCAGCCCCAGAGCAGGGGGAAAGGAGCAGAGCGAGGTCAACAGGTGGGGCGAGGGGGAGCCAAGCAGCCTGCCCGCGAACCAGCGGCTCCTCCAAGTGTGCGTCCGCGCCGGGGGGCACTCTTTCCGTCTGGAATCGTCATTCGGAGCTGCAGGGGCCGAGGTGCGGCAGCCAGAGAGCAAGGGGGGGCAGCAACCCAGCTCAGGGACAGCCAGGGGTGCATCCCAGGACCCTCTGAGCGGCGGCGGCGGCGGCGGCGGGAGGTGAGGGTGTGAGGAGGCCGCGCAGCCTGGCTGGGGACGCGGAGGAGCCGACTGACGCGCAGGGAGGCCTGAGACACTGCGAGAGCCGAGCGCTGGCAGCCGTCCTGGCCGGGGCCTCCCGGGGGCCCGTGCTTCACACGGGTTCTGAGCGGAGGCCGGCCCCAGCCAGAAAGACGATCACTCTGGGGCGCCGGAGGCAGCAGGTGATGAAATGGGATGCTAAAAGGCCCCCGCTACGCCATTAATTCTCGCTCAAACCGCTCTCCGGTTTGGGGGAAGACAAACAGCCTTTCCTATAAACCAAAACTACACTCATTATTTGGGGCCACATCACTTTAAAAGGAGTTTTATGTCAACATTAAACACGGCACCGGCACCGCTCTGGGGAACAGAGCGTGGGGGGTGGCGCGGGGGTGGGTGGCGTGCTGTCCCCTCCCAGCGGGAAGCCCCCGTGGGGGTGTGCGTGTCGGCACTGCTGCCTCAACCAACGCCCCCACCACACACGGCGACCCCGGGCTGCACTCGGGGGAGGTTGGGACCTGCTGCCAAACGCTGCTGGGCCCCTGGGCCGGGAGGGGGGCCGCAGAGGGTCCCCGAGGGCCAGCGCCCCACCCACCGCCCTCAGCCCTGCGGCCCCGGGCCACCACAGGGGAGAATTCCGGATAGGAAACTGTTCTTGCGCCCCCGACAGAAAAACACCTCCGTGCCTCTGGCCACTTCTGCTCTGAAGTCCAACCTCCCTCTCCCCGAGGGAGGGCGGGGTCTGGCAAAGGCAGGGGGGGTGGGGGAGGGGGCGAGGGCCGTGGGCAGGAAGGGCTCCCGGGCAGAGGCCGCCCGGTGCTGCCGGAGCCGGCAGCTCCCTGACGCAGGGCCAGCTGAGATGCGGAACAGCGTGGCCCCGTGCACACCTCTTACCGGGGCGCCGGAGGGCACATAGTAGGACGAGCTGCCGGACTCCTCCAGACGCCCCCAGCACAGGCCGGCGGCAGGGCAGCGACCAGGCTCGGGGCCGGAGCGGAGCCGTGTCCTGCGTGGTGGCGGCCACGGACAGCACGGGGCAGGGCTCACCCGGCGGGGCAGCCCGCTGGAGGGCGGCATGCCCGCTCGCCCACCCCCACCCGTGTGTCCCCCGAGGACCTGCCCCAGGGAGTCCAGCAGGAGGCGGGACCGAGGGGAGCCCCGGGGTCAGACTCCCAGCGCCGCCGGCCTCTGGAAGGCGCGAGACCGCGGGGACAAGCACGGGGACGGCCGCTCACCTGGTCGCCGGTAGAGTGCTGCCCCGGGTGAAGAGCACGGACGGCTCCACCTCCACGTGCAGCCCCAGGGCCAGGCTCCTGTAGTAGCCCTCCGCGTGGCCGGGGCCTCCGGAGTACTGGAAATTCAGGACCGCCTCCAGGGTCTGCGAGGAGGGAAAGGAGGGCGTGAGCGCTCCCGAGCCGGAGCTGGCCGGCGTTCCCGCCGCAGGCGGGCTCACCCCGACCGACCGGGGAGGCTGAAGACAAGCCCGGCTGGCACAGCTGCCGCCCTTGCCCCCGCGCCCCCGGCACCCCGGCCCTCCCGCCGCCCCCGCGTGGATGCCAGCCACTCCCAGCCTTTTGGAACCCAGGCGCCTCTCAGTGGGTCCCCCGGCCTCGCACTCATGTGCGCGCTTCCCGAGAGCCAGGCTCAGCCTCGGCACGAGATGAATGAGGCGTGGCCCTCGGTCTCAGAAAACTCAGAGAGCACTGAGCGAGCGAGTGTCCGGGCGAAGGAGCAAACAAACAAGGGGGCCAGCCCCGCCCCCAGCACGACAGAGCAGCGGCCCCAAATCGCAGGTGTGCCGGCCAAGGAGGCAGGTACCCGGTGACGGCCCTGCAGAGCCGGAACCTGCTCAGCCATGAAAAACATCACGCCGGCTTTTTTGTCTCTTCAGAGACATCTCAAAAGTCCCCTCCGGGGAGGGATGTAGTAGAAGTCTCTGGGGAACTGAGCAAAACACACACCGAGGCAGGTAACTGTGAAGTCCCAAGTAACAAAGGAGAAATACTCTGTTTTCTTGGAATTGGCTGTTTCTTCGCTCCGAGAGAATCAAGGAAAAGATATAATTATAGAGAAACTGTGTGTCTAATTTGTGAAAATCAAGCACAGAAAGGGTTTTTGTGAAATTGTTGAGTGTGACTGCCTTTCTTCCTTGATTAAAAAGGCCTTCTCGGCCGCATGAATCAGAATGTTTCCATGAAATGCAGAGTGGGCTGGTGAGGCAGCGACACGGGATGTCCGAATGCCTCTCGGTCGGTCACCAGACGACACATCGGGAGCCGCACCCGGCTCTGCCGAGGGGCTGTCCCTCCCGGGGCGCGCCGCAGCCCCGGCTTCGAGGACAGGCTGGCACAGAGGTCACTGACAGGCAAGGACTGGAGAGAGACATGCTTATCTTCTAGGCACACGACTGATCATTCCCGCTAAATGCGTAGTCTTTCAACGGCCCCCTTTTGCTGAGCACCTGCTAAGTGCCCGATGCTCTGCTAGGTGGCCACACGCAGGGACTCTGACGCCCTTGGGAGCCCCACGAGGAAAGCCCCGTCCCCCCAGACGAGGCTCAGAGCGGGCGGGCGGCGGGCCCGCCCGGACCCAGGAAGCCGCGCGCCCTGGGCGGGGACGGCGCTGGCGCTGCACGGCTGTGCGGACCGCCGTCCTGCCGATCGTGCACGCCGCTGGGGACGGCACTCCGCCCCCCGCCCGTCCGTTCGCCCGCCAGCCCCGGACGGGCGTCCACTGCGTGGCAAGGGACAAGGGACTGTGGTGGACGACACGGCGCCACCTTGAGGGGCTCTAGTCCCCTCGAGACACGAGCCCAGAGACACCTGAGACGCACCGCGGTCGGTCACAGAGGCGGGTCACGGGCCACACACACGGGGGACAGAGGGGACGCCTGCACCCGCTGGGCAGCAGCCGGCTGGGGAGGCAGGACCGGGCTGTTAGTAAAGTGAAAACGGACACAACACAAAGAGACTCAATTAAACTAAAACCTCGTTCTTAAAAGTACCAATAAGAGCTCTGGCTGGCGTAGCTCAGTGGATTGAGAGCAGGCTGCAAACCAAAGCATCGCAGGTTCGATTCCCAGTCAGGGAACGTGCCTGGGTTGCAGGCCACGGCCCCCAGCAACCGCACATTGATGTTTCTCTCTCTCTCTCTTTCTCTCTCTAAAAATAAATAAGTAAAACCTTTTTTTTTTAAAGTACCAATAAAAGGGACAGTCCTCTCGTTTAGGCCCATCAAGGGAAAAAGAGAGAGAAACTAATTGTCAATACCAACAATGAAAGTGTGTGTCTCTGGGTACAGATTCTACACACATCACAGGGAAAGTAAAGGAGTAATAACGTAAACAGTCTAGCGCCCACAGATTCAACAGCTTGGGTGGAATGGACGCGCTCCCCGTGGAGCCGAGCAGAACGAGAAACCCTGGAGAGTCCCCGTGGCGACTGGAGACGCGGAACTCACCGCTGAAAACGCCCCTGGAAGCTCGGACGCCCTCCCCGCCGAACCCTCCCCGACCCCCCGTCAGGGGGCACGCCAGTTTTACGCAGCACAGCCTCGGGAAACGGAGGAGCGGGGGACCCGCGTTCCTCCTGTGTGGCCGGCGCTGCCCGAACACCACACCGGACAGGGAGCCGACGCAGAAGAAAACCCCAGGCCTCCGTTCCTCGTGGACTCGGGTGTAAAAGCCCTCAGCGAGGCACTGCCGAATCAGCCGCAGTGACGTGCACACGACGGGCACTGCACTGAGGCCACGTGCGCCCGTCTCAGCGGCGCGGCGTCAGCTGAACGCCAGAACGTCCGTGCCCTTCATCGTGTTAACACACTGTTAACAGAGAGAAGGAGGAAAGCCACGTGATCATCTCCACAGCTCCAGGAAACGCAGGTGACAAAATTCAAAACCCACTTACGATGTTTTATCAACCTCCCCCACGTGGGCGCAGGAAGGAGCAACGGCAGCCTCGGGGGCCGGCAGCTCCCTCGGAAAGGGGGGCACCCGCCTGCACGGCGGCGAGACCCGAGGGCTCGCCCGGGGAGGGAGCGCAGCGCCCGCGTCCACGGAGCGCGGTGTTCCCACGGTGAGCAGCTGCGAAGCCCCCCCCACACCGCGGAGGTGAACGAGGGGCCCCTCAGGCCCTTCGAAGGCCACACCGAAGGTGAAATGGTTTTAGCTACAAGAGCTTAACACTAGGGAGCAGCCTTGCAGTAACCAGGTCTCGGGCCTGGGGACCCGAGACCCAGGAAGGCGCAGAGGGTGGACCCTGGTCGACGCGATGGCTCTCGTTCAAACGGGGCCCTGCCACACCCACCCACCCACGAGGGGCGGGATGGAGCACGCCCGGCCCTGGGCCCCTTCTCCGGCGCTCAGACCCCACCCGAGGGGCCCAGGGCGGCAGGCAAATCCGGTCTGGGTCTTGTCGGGGAACGAGACTGAGAGGAGGCGTCTTGGACTAGCTACCCCCGCCCCGCCCCCCGCTTTTTTCCTGGCGGGTTTTCTTCCCTGTCCAACAGGAGGGAAATGCATGGCGACTTCACTGCCTGGGGCCACAGGGGAAACTGGAGTGCAATGTACACGGCGTGTCGCCATGCCACTGCTGAATCCCACGGCAGGCAACTACAGCCCGGCAGGTCCCCGGTGAGCGCCGCTGCACCGTGACAGTGACGGAGAACACCGGTTCCCAGCCGAGGCTGCAGTCTGCGCGGTGTTTGCTTACTCTCCCCGTGTCCGTGTCCGGCTGGGCTTCCTCCCTCCTCCCGAAGGTGTGCCCACGAGGTGGCTGGGGCCCGGCTCTCGCTCACCCGACGCCCGGGTGCAGCCTGTCGGACGCCCGAGTGCGCTCTTTCCACCGGACCCCGCTCAGCTCCGCACCCCCCGCGGGCGCGGCCGGGGTCCCCGCACCCCTGCTTGCAGAGCTCCTCCCCGGCTCTCGTCACTGAGCCTGCACCACAGGCACGTGGAGGCCAGGAAAGAGGCTCCTTCACAGGGGAGGAGCCTGAGGCCCCCGGAGTGGAAGTGACTGACCCAGCGCCACAACGCCAGCGACAGCAGGTCCAGACGTGGGGGGCAGGGCTCCCGGTCGCCTGAAAGGCCGCGTGGCCGGGAGCCCCTCCCGGTCCTGAGGCCCCTCCCGCCCGGCCCCAGCTGTCGGCCGGCACCACGCCCCGATCTTTCTGACCTCCCCGTCTGGACCACAGCAGGGATTCCAGAAACGCTGACCAGAAGGAAGAATGAAAGGGGGGGAAGGAAGGTGGCCCTGCAGCTCCGGTCACACACCAGACTCGGGGGGTGCGGCACGGAGTCCCCACCCTCGTCTGCGTTCCCCTCTGTTCCACGCTAACCAGAGTCCCCCCAAGCACCCCCAGCTCGCACCGTGCAGACGTGGGAGCCGAGACCCGGGGCAGGCAGACCCCCAAGCCCACGCCGCCCCAGAAGGGCGGGGCCGTGGCTCACACCCGGGACGCGGGGCTGCTGGCCCCGGCGCGCCCGCCGGCGTGAGGCACACCCCCGCCCCCCACCCCGTGCGCCTGAGTTAAAGTAAACGTGCCCTTCCCGAGCCAAACAGGAAATCAATGAGCTCCACATCAGTGTCGCCAATTTGCCTGAGAAAGCGGCTCTGCAAAGGTCACCTGTGCCGCCGGCGGGCTCCTGTTCTTTAACACGGCCGTGGGAGAGACACGGGACGGACGGTCCGCTCCAGGGCAGAGACAGCCCGCCGCGAGCCCCGGCATCTGCCGTCAGGCCTGCCGCCGGGCAGGACGACGGAGGCGGCCGTGCCCCCGCACAGCCCCCAGACCACGTCTCCGTGGCCGAGGAGGCGGGCGGAGGTCTCCTAATCGCACCTTCTCCCCAGGTGCTCAGCAGCCGGAAAAGGGGCGCACATCCAGGGAGGAGGATGGGGGCGGCTCCTCTCCCACCGCCACGCCCGGGGTTCTGAGCGTGCCGCGCCTCGACCTTCTAAATTGCCGGGAGCACTCCGCCATCGGCAACTCCTGACCTGCGGTCGCCGGGCACAGGAGTCAGCCCCGTCCCGGGACAGCGACGAGGGCCCCCCCGTGTGCTTTTCCTCCCACTCCGGTCCCCATCCTGCTCGCACTTCTCGTGACCTCTCGGAGCCCAGTTCCAACAACTGGCGGGTCGCTCCGGCGCGGGCGTCGCTCCGGCGCGGGCGTCGCTCCGGCGCGGGCGTCGATCAGCTGACTCTTCCTCGTGCCACGGCCCCTGCCCTCCGCCGCTTCTGCGGGCCTGCAGGGGTGCTGCCTCCATGAGACCGGCGCAGGGCCCAGCGGCGAGCTCGAGGGGACCCCTGGCGGCTTCCAGGGCACACTGGTTGCGAGCCCCTCCTTCCCTCGAGTGATTCCGGCCACCAGCCCTCCCGGGCTCTG